GTCCGGGCGACAGAGTGAGACTCCAACTCAAAATAAATAAATAAATAAGTAAATAAGTAAATAAATAAATAAATAAATAAATAAATAAATGTGTGAGTGAATCAATGAATGTACAAGTGCCTGAGTAATTGAATTAAGAGATGATTGCATGAAGCAACAAATGAATTTGTAAATCACAATGACTATTGTTTTTGAGCACACACTGTGTGTCAGGCCCTATTGTAAGGACTTCTCTTAATCCTTGCAACAACCCCATAAGATAGGTACAATTATTAGCCCCATTTTGCAGATGGAGAAACTGAGGGTCACAGCAGTGAAGGCCCAAAGTCACAAAACTCCTGAGTGGCAGAGTTAAGATTTCAGCCCAGACAGTCTGACTTGAGACCAGAGTCTTAAACCGTACAGTGGTCCTGCTGAGAAAATCAGTGAATGAGTGGGTGAATGAAGGAGTAAATGCAGGAGCCCTCACACTCTAAGCCATGGGCAAGACAGGCCACTTTCTGATGAGATAGTTTCTGCCCCATCAGAAGGTGGGCGTTCAGGGTCTGGACTGGGAATGGATCTCCCCCAAGGTAGAATCTGATGGTCTTGTCTCATGTCTCCTCTACCTCTTCTCTGTCTGTAGGCGGATGCCGCCATGCAGCACTACGGGGTGAACGGCTACTCGCTGCATGCCATGAACTCTCTCAGCGCCATGTACAACCTGCACCAGCAGGCAGCCCAGCAGGCCCAGCATGCCCCCGACTACCGGCCTTCAGTGCATGCGCTTACACTGGCCGAGCGCCTGGCTGGTAAGGGCCGTGGGGACGGGACCATGGGGACGGGACCATGGGGACAGGACTGTGAGGACTAGGGGAGGAGGAGAGGGCTGGGAGAGGGAGCTCCCGAAGGTAGAAAGGGGAGGGAGCACTGGGCAAGCTTGTTCTGGGCTGCTCAGAAAGACTAAGGTCACTTAGCAATACAGAGAGATGTCAATTCAAAATCTATGTATATTCGGAGCAGCCTTTGTTTGCCAGTGCTGTTCAGGGCTCTGCAACTGCCCTATGCCTTCAGATTCTCATAACAAGCCTGTGAGGGAAGTATCCATTAGCCCCGTCTCACAGATGAAGAAACTGAGGTAGGAGGGTAAGGGGCTAGTCCAGAGTACTATGGCTGGGAAGTAGTTGGAGAACACCTGGAATGCCCAGCGGATGAGATTTCAGGCACAGGGAGTTATAGATAACAATGGTGGCTCCCATGTTTTGAACATCAGTTGTGGGCCTGGCACTGTGTGTGGCTCTTTCTTTCTGTGTGCATTAAATTATTCTATCCCAATAAAGAGAGGTTATTATCTCCATTTTATGGACAAGGAATTTGAGGCTCAAAGAGGTGAAATCTGGAGTGGGGTTGGAATAGGACATGGCTAAAAATATGAGCGTTGGAGTCACAGATGTGCAGTCAGTGCAGGGTCTGCTTATTCAACGCTCTTCTCTGGGCCTCAGTTTCTCCTTTTGTAAAAAGGAGACAGTGGCAACGCCTATTCCATGGGATGGTTGGGAGGTTATTTGAGGTAACACATGCAAAGTATTCACCAGAGCCTGGTAGATGCTCAGAAGTCATTATAACCCAAGGCCCAGGTAAGTACCCATGGGGGAGCTGCAGCCTGGTCCTGGCCACTGATTGCTTTCCTGCCCTGCCAGCCTCTTGGTGGGTGTGAGAAGGATTCAATGAGCTTGATTTCCTGGCAGGTGATGCCACTCACCCCATTCTGTCCTAGGCCAAGCCTCGAGCAGCTGTGCCAGGCAGCCCTCAGAAGACTTCAGGGAACTCCTAGGGAGACCAGGTGCCCACAGACCCATGAGAGGGCACAGCAGGAGTGTGGCCAGGGTCAAATGGTGGGGCAGCTTAGAGCAGCAGAATCATCCATTGTAGTCAGGGAGGGCTTTCTGCAGCCCATGGGGCAAGAACCAGGCCTCAAAGGGGCATGGCACAGAAGGGGGACCAGCCTGAGCCCAGGCACAGAAATGGGACAGGATCTGAGGACCTTCCTGGGTAAGGGAGCTGGCTTGGCAGGGAAGGTGCACCCTACCCCAGGGTGACCAGCCTGAGCTCAGGGCTTGCTCAGGACTGGGATTAAGGGCAGTTTGTGAGGGGCTCAGAGCTTCCTTTTTAGCCTGAAGGAGGAGTATCCCAAAGTCTGGGACCTCCTGGACAACCAGTTGCCTCTTTCTTCCCATTTAGGGTGTGGTAAATGACTCTTCAATCCCTAGAGTGCAGAGGAAGGACGCTGGCAGCCATATGCAGAGCCTGAGACAGCTTGGGTTCCCTTCAGTTTAGACAGGACAGGATCCACTTATGAGGTGATGGGAGATAAGTTACTGTCCTTTCTCCAGTGGCTACATCAGACTCATTGGCCAACTGGGATGAGGTTTACATGCAGAGGACAGAGAATCAGATGCCAGTGAACTGTCTTCCCAGTTAGACCTCCCCCAGACCTTGAGATGAGTGCCAACCCACAGTCTAGCTTCTCATGGTCAGGGGCCAGTATTCTGATGCTAAAGAAGTCTTAGTAGCCAGAGTCTAAGGGCCTTTGGGACATAGACATAGATTCTCAGCATCTTGTAGTCTCAGAATATCATACTCATAGTGTTCATCTTAGGGAAATATCTGCCTACCCATTCCCAATGCCAGATAAGGAAGACCCTCCTATAGTCACCTGACTGACAGCCGTTCATGGAGCTGAGCTAGACCTTTGTGGTCCTAATCAGGAACGATAGGGTGGAGAGTGCTTGAAAACTCAGCCATATGGAGATGGGTCAGGTGATTTCCAAGGGCAAAGAGCAAAGTGCAGAGGGCCAGGGAACAGCTTCGGAAGCAGCCTGGGCGTCCACAAAGGGTCAGAGCAGGATGAGATTCAAACCTATTTCCCATAATTAAATGGGCCCCCCTCTCCTTGCCCTCCAACGGCTGTACATTTCAAGACATCATTTTGGAGGCCCGCTATGGCTCCCAGCACCGCAAACAGCGTCGCAGCCGCACAGCATTCACGGCTCAGCAGCTCGAGGCCCTGGAAAAGACCTTCCAGAAGACTCACTACCCAGATGTGGTGATGCGTGAGAGGCTGGCCATGTGTACCAACTTGCCTGAGGCCCGGGTGCAGGTAGGACCCAGCTCCCCTAGCTAGGCCTTGCAGACAAGAACCAGCCCATCAGTCTGGATCCACATTGTCCAGGAGCCAGCATTTCATCCCTCATGCCAAAGTGCAACTGACATCGCCATCAAAGTCTTCAGTGATATCAGTGGGAGCTTTGGGAGGGAATTAGCGTGTTTGTTTTCTAGAGGGATGGGAGCATCACTGTCAGGTACATCCTCTCCCAGGGTAACCTGTTTCACAATAACCCCACTTCTTTCTTCCCCACCTCTGATGACTACCTTCCTGTCCCCAGGTGTGGTTCAAGAACCGCCGGGCCAAGTTCCGGAAGAAGCAGCGCAGCTTGCAGAAAGAACAGCTCCAAAAGCAGAAAGAGGCTGAGGGCTCCCACGGGGAAGGCAAGACGGAGGCTCCAACCCCAGACACCCAGCTGGAGACGGACCAGCCCCCTAGTCTGCCCAGTGGCGACCCCCCTGCTGAGCTTCACCTGAGCCTGTCTGAGCAATCAGCCAGTGAGTCAGCCCCCGAGGATCAGCCTGACCGTGAGGAAGACCCCCGGGCAGGGGCCGAGGACCCCAAAGCTGAGAAGAGCCCTGGGGCTGAGAGCAAGGGACTGGGCTGCAAGAGGGGCAGCCCCAAAGCAGGTGAGGCCCGGGAGGTGTTGTGGGAGGGCGGAGACCGACAGGGGCTGAGCTGGGTGTGCAAGGTGGAGGAGGGGTATTCAACAACTGATACTCAGGGGCATGACCGATGAGAAAAGACTGGCCAGAGCAGGTCCGAGTCAGGTGTTCACCCTGTAGTTACTGAGTTATGGGAAGGTCTAGGAGGTTCTGTAGGAGGGGTTGGGTCTTGGGGTGGAGAACTCAGGGACAAAGTTATTTATCAACTGCTGGGAAGTATTCTAACAATCAGTAAGGCCGTACTGGGACATACTGGGTGAATACCATGTCAGTACCAGAGATTCCCACAAGCAGCAGAGATTTGGAGCATGTTCCCTAGGGAACAGAGCTGTGGTGTGAGGCACATATCAGACACAAACCCCAAGCCAGGGAGGACATAGGGACTGTGAGATAAGAGCCGGGGGAAGGGAATGGGAGCTGTAGACAGGAGAGGAGGAAGGGGAGGCGATAACCCTCGAAAAGCAAAAGGGGCTCCACCAGGACAGACATGGGGACTTTGCAAGGTCCCTAGAGCTTTCAGGAAGCCTGGATACTTCACTCCCAGGATTCTGGGCAATGCTTCCAGGATGTATGGCTGAGATGGGATCTTATCTGTAATGCCAAGGGGGTGGGGATGCTGAGGGTACCCTTCCCAGCAGGCCAATCCCGTGTCCTGAGTACTTGGTTCTTGGTTCTCTGCTTGCAGATTCCCCAGGCAGCCTCACCATAGCTCCCGCAGCGCCAGGGGGCGGCCTCCTGGGCCCCTCCCACTCCTACTCCTCATCCCCGCTGAGCCTCTTCCGTCTGCAGGAGCAATTCCGCCAGCACATGGCGGCCACCAACAACCTGGTGCACTACTCATCCTTTGAAGTGGGGGGCCCGGCACCTGCTGCTGCCGCTGTGCCCTACCTGGGAGTCAACATGGCCCCGCTGGGCTCACTGCACTGCCAGTCCTACTACCAGTCCCTGTCAGCAGCTGCTGCTGCCCACCAGGGTGTGTGGGGGTCCCCACTGCTGCCCGCACCCCCTGCAGGCCTGGCACCTGCCTCGGCTGCCCTGAACAGTAAAACTACAAGCATCGAGAACCTGCGGCTCCGGGCCAAGCAGCACGCGGCCTCCCTGGGACTCGATACGCTGCCCAACTGACCGTCTCCAACCCAGCCAGGGGTCTTGGGTCCCCCCTCCTAGCCCATGGCTATCCCCAGATGGCTCTGAAGGAGTTAACTTGAGCCCAGGGATCCTGGGACCTGGCATCTGGTTCCCTGTTCCCCTTCCCCAGACCCCAGCCCGAGGTGAAGCCCACAACTACACACCCTCTGCATGGCCCTGCTTGGACCCCGTGGAGGCTGAATGGGGAGGAGGTGAGAGGCGGGGTGCCCTGGCTTCCCTTGGGGAAGTGAGAGACTCTCACTGGCTAGATCCTCACCTTGATGTCACCTCCTCCCTTCCCTCCCTCCCTTTCTGCCCTCTAGTAAGTCGATGTGTGGAATGTGAGATATAAATATAATTATATAAAGCTATATTTTCAGGCACCTGCCTGCCCCAGGCCCCCTGCCCCACTCCCCTTTCTCCACGGCCACCCTGGCCTGCACCTCCAGCTTCCGTAGCTTCCCAGACTCCCTTCTCTCTCTGCTTCTCTCTCTCTCCTTTCCTTCTTCCCTTGACCTCCTCTCCCTGCCTCTGTCCTGGTCCCTTTGCGCCTCTCTGCCCAGCCTCTGTCTCCCCCACCCTTGATCTTTCTCTCATGTCTCTTCCCCTATCCCTGGTTTCTTCCTTTGGTGCTGGTTGTGTTGGTGTCGTCCATTTCCCAGCAGTGTTTGGTTTGGGGTTGTGATTTTTTTGGTTTTAGTAATTTTGCTTCTTCCTGTTGCTCTCCTTCTCTCCCCCCGACCCCCTTGCGTGTCTGCTGTCTCCTCCCCGCACCTGCACTCTCTTTAGGCTGCTGTTCCTTCCCGTGCCCAGTAGAGGCAACGAGGCCCTAGCTGGAGACCTTGCAGCCCTGGAGCTGCCGGCAGGGGATGCCACAGGCTCCCACTCCCACCCTCCCTCAGGTCGGACATTTGGTAGGAGTCAGGAGTTACGTTCTCTTCTCTCTTCTCAGTCTTGAGGTCACCATTCTCAAGACTGAGGAGGCAACGTCAGGCCAGGCAGGTGGCAGAATGGCCGCCATCACTGCCTGCAAGCCCTCCAAGGACAGAGGCCTGGTGTCAGCGTTCAGCCAGGACTGACTGTGGGCTCTAGAGTTCTCTTTGGTGAGACTTCCCTGGTTGCAGGGAGGCAGCAGGGGGAGAGGCCTCTCAGAGAACAGGGCTGGTGCTTCTCTCTCGCAACCCAGCCCCCAGGTTCAGCCGCTACGGTCCATCCCAGAACGAAGGTTGACCTTTGCTCCTGATCACAGTGAGTGAAACCACACAGCACCGTGTGGGCTCGGGGTTCTGTTGGCTTCCTGTCTCAGAACCAGTTGTTGAAGTAAGGGTTCTTGTCCAGCTAGTCACTGGCATGGAGAAGTGTGCTCCTGTTAATGGTCCAGAAACCCAGCTCAGCAAACTGCCTTTCAAAACTGTGTGACCTTGGGCAGGCCTGTAGCCTCTCTCGACTCATTTTCCCACCTGGGTTAGATGGCCTGTGAGGTTCTGCTCTGCTTTACACTTTGCATTCTGTGCTCACAACCTTGCAGGAGAGAAGTTTTTACTTAAATGAACAATGACAACAAAAGGCTTTCAGAAGCACAATGTATGTATTAGAAAATTACTGTTGCCTTGCTGTGAAGCAAAGGCTGTTGTACACACAAGCCTTTCTGTGGATACTGCCTCAGTCTCCCCATACGTATAATGAATCCCCTCTAGCTCAGACAATCTGGATTTGATCTTGCTTTTCTTGAGTTCCAGTGCCAGCCTCTAAGGTCACCCCGTTTCCATGCCTTTGCATGTTCTCAGGAGCTTGGGGCAGGGGAAGGGGCAGCTTGGACAGATTCCTGGTCATGCTCCACAGCCCTCTGTGGTTTACCACTGAACACTCCAACCCCTGCTTAAACCAGGGTGAAGACTCCTAAGGCTTGTCTCCTCTCCCAGTGGGAAAAGGGTTCTGCTGGTGCCCTGGTGGGACTGGTTTGCAGAACACCAATTCCCATCACCCTTGGAGCGGAGGTCAGTCTGGGCTGGGGTAGATGGAGAAGGCTTTGGACAGGAAAAAGGTGAGGGAGATGGTAGTCTGACCAGGAAAACCATTGGAACAAAGCAATGGAGGTGAGACTAAGTGGACCATGGGAAGGGGATGGCTGGCTTCAGGAGAGGTGGGGCTGAGGGGCCTGGAATCCTGGCTAAAGACCTCACCTCCACGTGGCAAGCACCAAGACAGGCCATGGAGGATTTCTGAACCCTTGGGTGTCTTCCTGGAGTCTGGAGTTTGGAAAGTGAATCCAACAGTCATGGGAGCATGAGCGAAGGAGAGACTGAGGCAGGGCTATGGGAGTTTGACGAAGACTCTGGAAAGAATGGAGTTTTGAATTTTGGAGGTGTCCTATGGCCCATGGCCCGTCGACTGTTCTCTGAGATCAGCTCCAGAAAGTTCTGGTTCTTCAATAAAAAGTGTCCTCTGGACCAGGCATGGGGAGCTGAGGCTTTCATCTGCCCCTGGGTTCAGTGACTGTCACTGGGCTTTGGAATCCAACAGACCTACACACTACCACCTCCTCTAGGAAGCCTCTCCGACCTCCATCTGGAGTCATGTTCTGCCACCCACCTTAGGCTCAGCCCAGCTTCCCTCAGATCTATGTCATCACTTCTCCCATTCAACTGGCACAAACCCACAAGCCCAGAGCAGGCAGGGAAGATATATGTGGTCCCTGCCCTTGGGCAGCTCTCAAGCTAGTTTAGGCAGCTGCCTCAGGTACTGGACGCAGCTAGGGAGCAGGAGGAGTGCACACCTGTGAACGGTACTGTGCGTCTCCTCAGGAGGCACAGGGATGGGCTGGGTGGGCCCACCGCACCTGACGCTGGGGCCACAGCCTCTCCCCGGCTACCCATAGGACGAAGAGCCCGAGGCTCAAGCTCTGACCATCCCTTCCAGAAAAGCTTCATGCCTTGCCTCTCCCTCCTATCTGAGACCTCCCTTCCCCTGTTTCCTTATCTCCCCTCTCTCCCCCCAGAACATGGCCCAGGGGCCTGGGTCCCCATCCCAACTCCGAGCCTGGCGGGCTGTATAGACTGCTTTCCAAACCAGCTGTTTTGTGACCATTTGTGCTTAGAGGTCGTGCCAGCCCGTGGCAAAAACACTGTGTACTGTATTTATTTATTCTGTTAGTTGAAAAAAACAAGACTCAACTTACTCCCCTCCCCTGCCCTGCACCCTGTGTAGTGCAGCATGACGCTCTGTTTGTGTATCCGTCCGTCGGTCGTTCTCCCTGTGATGTTGTGACCTGTTCTTTGTTCTTCTTGGCTAATAAAAGAGAACCCAGCAGCACAGACCTTGCCCCATACTCATTCCCAGAGATGTCTGCAGGGGGCTGGGCAGGTGGTGTCTCAAGGTCTGCTCACTGCCCCTCTAATACCATGGCCAGCGGGGAGGGAGGCAGGCTTGCTGCATGGTTGGCCACTGCCACACTAGCCATGCAATTATCTCCATGGACTCTGCCAATCTTCAGCAATGGTGCCACTCTGGAATGGCTGCCAGGGAACAGAGTGTGGCGGAGGGCTCCGTCTTCTCCAGGCTGTTTGGACCTCACCCAAGCACAGGTGCCAGGGCAGCCTGGGGCAGGGGCCACCTGAGAGTGTGCAGGGTAGCCTGGAGGTTGGGTCTGCAGGTCAGAGAGAGGCAGAAGGATCTGTAGAAACCTGCAAGTAAGCCAGGGCCCAGGGGAATGGTAGGAAGGCATATTTGGATCTAAAGCCAGAGCTGTTCTCCAGTGGAATGGGCAGCCTTCAGAAGGAGTGAGCTCTTTGATCTCAGAGGCAAGCAAGCAGAGGATAAGGAAGGGACTTCTGCAGAGGAAGTCTGCATGTGTGTATGTGTTATCATAGGCCTATACGCAGGTATGAGAACCTGGGCCATGAATGCAGAAGTATCTGCTTGCATCTGTGCATGTATGAGCACGTGCACGACCACAAGAGAATGTGAGGCAGATGGGGAGACAGTGTGTCAGGCAGTAAGTACGGAAGGCAAGCACAATGAAGAAATTCTTGCTGTGAAAAGCTGGCCCCCTCCCGCTGCACCTCAAGAAAAACAGGATGGCCGGATGTGGTGGCTCAAGCTTGTAATCCCAGCACTTCGAGAGGCCAAGGTGAGGGGATTGTCTGAGCCCAAGGGTTCAAGAACAGCCTGGACAACTTGGCAAGACCCCATCTCTGCGATAAATAAATAAAAAATTAGCTGGGCATAGTAGCACGCATCTGTAGTTCCAGCTACTTGGAAGGCTGAGGCAGAAGGATCCCCTGAGCCCAGCAGGTCGACGCTGGGGTGGTGGTGAGCGTATGGCTGCACACCAGCCTGGGCGACAGAGTGAGACTCCAACTGGGGGCAGGAAGAAAGAAAGAAAAAGAGGACTAGGGATCTCCTCCACTCAGCCCTGCTGCCGTGGCTCCACCTCCTCCCCCCTACCCAGCACAGGGTGTCTGCACAGGGCCCAGAGCCAGAAGGGGTGGTGCATGCACCTGGCTGAGGCTTGGAGGGGGGTGACTCCCTTCTGTCTGAGCATTTCCTGGTTGGAGAACCCCAGTAAGCCTGAGTGTATGTCGTGAGCTGCCTGCTGGGCTTCCCAGGGCGGGCACTGACCTCCCCACTTCCCAGGTCGACCCCAGGAGATGCATTCCTCTCTCCCCAGTGGGGCTGAGGATTAGGGCGGGGTGTATCTCCCTTCACCTCACCTCCCGCCTCCTTGGGAGGAGCTGACAGATTGAATGTCTGCCTCAAATCTCCCACTGTTCCTCCCACCCCCTCCAGCCTTGAGCCACTGAGTGCTCTACTTACCTCAGCCCAAAGGGATACCCTTTCCCTGGCATAGAGGGTGGCCTGGTAACACTGCACCTGCTGTATGCCCAGTCCTGTGCTGGGTGCAAAGAAATGAATAGAAAACCATGGTCCCCGTTCTCAAGACAATTACAACACAGGGCAATCTGGGCTTCAAAAATAGGGAACTATGGGAGCACAGAAGAGGGTGCCTAGCTCAGTCTAGGGAGATCAGAAAAGCCCTTGGGAAGGAGACTTTTGACCTGAGTCCCATACATCTGGTGCTCACGAGGAGGGCAAAAAGAGGCACAGCACAAATAAACCTGCAGAGCTGAGCCAGCTGGGGGAACCCCTGAGCCCTGGGAGAGGAAGGGGCCTATCTGGATGAGACTCAAGAACAATGGGGCGGTGCTGGTGGGTAAGGGTGGAGAGGGAAGCTGGGAGCTTGAACTCAAGCTCAAGGGTCAAGCTGTGGCACTGGAAGCTATTCCTAATGGGAGAGTTGGGTGATCAGACTTGTATTTTAGTAAATCTTCCCTGCCCCCACACCTGCATGGTAGTTCATGAGAAGGAACTTGAGGCAGGGAGACTGGAGAGGAAGTCATTGTCATGTCCTGGTGAGAGGAGAGTGGCATCCATCTAGACTGGAGGAGGGGAGAAGGGGTTGGACTTACAAGAAATTTAGGAGACACAATCATTATGGTGACTTCAGGATGGGAGAGGTCAAGGGTGTTCCTAAGTCTCTGGCTAGGCAACAGACTAGATGAGACCCCTATTCTGTTGGGGCTGGAGTACTAGGGAACGATCCCGAGCTCAGGGTGGTCTTTTTGCACATATGAGGAGGCTTTGCTTTGTACAAGGGAAGATGTTGGGTCTACCTCCGCTGCTGATATAGACTTTATTTGACAAATACGTATACAGCCCTTTCTCTGTGCCTGGAACCTTACAAATAATGTTACTAAATCCTCAGACAACTCTATGAGGTAGGTACTATTACTGTCTCCATTTTACAGATGAGGAAACTGAAGCACAGAATGGTTAAATAACTTGCCCAGGATCACATCTAGTACTGGGCCAGCCAAAGGATGAACTCAGCTAGCATCAGAATCCATGCTCTTAACCTTGGTCATTGTCAGCAAGGAGACAGTGAATTAAGCCACATCACTAAATGAGATCACACAGAGAGAAGCAGAGGATGGGACCTCAGGGGAACACTGACTATGACATGAAGAGCATTCTACTGATAGAGTCGGGACAAGCCACTCCTGGTTTGCTGTTTACTGAGGGTGAATAACTGCCCCCCATTGGTCCTCAGTTTCCTCTTCTGTTGAATGAGAATCATCAGCCATGTCCAACCTGCTTCCTGGGAGGCTCAGATGAGGTAGCGGAGAAGGTACCCTGGGAGGCTGAGAAGCTGAGTGGTTATGTGTCCACCACGAGTAGGTGCTGAGACAGTCCATGGTGGATGAAAGTGGGAAAGGCAGGGAGCTCCCGAATTCCTTCCTCTCTTAGGCCTAGGCCCCAGTGTTCTTTCAGCTCAGGGGTCTGGTTCATTGGAGGCCCTCATGGAAGGGGTTCCTGCTGAGACGGTCTGGGAGATGGACCCTCTAGGGCTGGGTGTCCCTTC